TTAGTTATGTAACACAGGACAAACACAATAGACAATACTAGCTGCTTCACTGCCTCCAGTATACATCTGACCATCTAAATCAGACAAAAAAAAAATAATAAAACAATTATATTTAATCTAGAATTGTACCTCTTACTGTCAAATACATCATCACTGCATTAGTTACAAAACGTTATTGGATAAAAAGATAATGTCGGAACACATTTCAAAATTTATGTGTACATTATTCATATTTCTAGTTTCTATTTTTTTACTGTAACGACAGCTTTGTTTCTCGACAATGGAAGTCGACGTCAAGAACTAACAATACTTCGTCTTTCTCTATAATTATTAATTGAATAGTATATTATAATCTTGTCCGGGTAGCTGATATTTTCTTATCTGTTCCGTAAATCGGTTTCTACCGTCCGTAAAACACTACAATTAACTATGCGCTTTCATTTTTTGTTTCTTTCTGGATGTTAAATATAATAAAGAAAAATATTGCAATTAGTCAAAAAATCACCCCCAAGATTTTTACAGTTTTCGACCTCTGAGATCTTGAAATATCAAGAAATGGGGGATTTGTTTTTTTTTCTGTATGGGGTGCACAATTTTGTTCACCTATTTTGAAGCTTAACTCGTGTGCTTTTACTTAAAAATATCCGAAATTTTGCAGGCAGCATATTAGGGGGATTGGTGCTGTTAAATTTTAGTGGTTAAAGGTGAGTGGGCGAAGAGATAAAGAGAGGTCATACATCGTATCTTGAATATGGTCGGACTTAATGACGATTTTACACATTATTAGTATTTACAATTTGTTATTAAACTCATCTCTACCCTCAAAATTATGCCTTTTACCATTTTATAATATTTAAAAATATGAGAAGTTTTTAAATAAAATATACAAATGGTGCCAAACTAAGTTTTAAAAGTCAGAGGGAAAGTTAGGCAACTTGTTGCTGGACTTTTTTTTTATTCAATTCATCGATATTTTGTGAATATAAAAGAAACTGACTCTAAAACCATCTAAATACAGTTGTTCATATTAATTCACCACACTACTACAGGTGTGGTGACGATATATTGTGTACCACATTGGGCACATGTGTCCAATGTGGTACACAATATACAGTATTATCAAATTTTGTTTATTTTGAAATACATAGATTTCAGTTTATTTTAATTCTATTTTTTATTCTATTTTATTTATTTATTTATTTTTTTAAAGTTAAATATATCTATGTGTATCTACTTTAGACTCGGACCCAAAAAGGTTTGCCATCCTGGGCTCGAATTCCAGTGTTGAAAAAATTCCAACTCAAAAAATCAAACTGGCATAAGTAGGTAGTCTGTCTGTGATTTGTGGTCTTTCCCTCACCGACCCCATTGTGGACCTGCCCAATCTAATGATAAGCATGGTTAAAAGACCCTTTTAGTGCTGATAGAGCAGAAAATCAAAAAATAGATTGATAAGATTAGACAATGCAACAGTGGTGCACTCAAGATTAATCTTGGGGAGCCAAGCTGAAAGGATAAAAATTTGCATTAAAAGATTTTTACCTTTTAATGCAAATTCAATAAAATTCCTGACTGGTGTGACCACTAATTCATGAGTAATATAGAAATAGAACATACAACACAATATAAATAAAAAATGAATTTTAATTATAAAAATATTTTTGGAAAATTTACTAGTATTTCTTTTCCTTTTATTTTGGAAGCACCGTGACCCTTTGGCTCACCNAATCTTGTCCGGGTAGCTGATATTTTCTTATCTGTTCCGTAAATCGGTTTCTACCGTCCGTAAAACACTACAATTAACTATGCGCTTTCATTTTTTGTTTCTTTCTGGATGTTAAATATAATAAAGAAAAATATTGCAATTAGTCAAAAAATCACCCCCAAGATTTTTACAGTTTTCGACCTCTGAGATCTTGAAATATCAAGAAATGGGGGATTTGTTTTTTTTTTCTGTATGGGGTGCACAATTTTGTTCACCTATTTTGAAGCTTAACTCGTGTGCTTTTACTTAAAAATATCCGAAATTTTGCAGGCAGCATATTAGGGGGATTGGTGCTGTTAAATTTTAGTGGTTAAAGGTGAGTGGGCGAAGAGATAAAGAGAGGTCATACATCGTATCTTGAATATGGTCGGACTTAATGACGATTTTACACATTATTAGTATTTACAATTTGTTATTAAACTCATCTCTACCCTCAAAATTATGCCTTTTACCATTTTATAATATTTAATAAAATAAAAATTTCTTAAAAGATGACACCACACACAATTTTTAACCCATGCCGTGAAAGTTACACAACTCATTGCTGGATTTTTTGATGAATCAAGCAGTTTCCTAAAATTTAGATTAAACAGGTTAGAAAAGTTTTACAATATTTAAGAATTTCTTATCTGAAAATCAGTGATAAGTTTAAGTAATTTTAATACAGTACTTTGTATGGAGTGTACTGAAATTCCATGCGAATATTTCGAGGACAGATTCCAGAATCAAAAGCAAAAATAGTTGGAATGATAGAGTTTTTCAATGCAAACTTACATTGAATAACATTTTCTTTTTTACAAAGCTAAACAGAATACAGTGAACTCTCGTATAAAGCGCTCCCCTATAACATGATAAAAAAATTGTGACTAGTAATTACACAAAATTCTGATTTTTGTCTTCCAGAGGTATACATTTTCTTTTTTAACTTCTAGGTCTAGATTTAAACTTGCATGAAATTGTCTGATAATGCAATTTTCTATAACACACAACTTATCACATGTGCTGTAAAGGACTCCATTGTAGTATACAAGAATAGTTAAATTTCCATTTGTTCCAAAAAACTAATTCTTAACATTTAACATATGGCTAAATCAATCTTCTAGTAACAAGGCAAAAAGTTAAAATAAATGCACAAACCTTAAACTGACATTGCAGATAAGTGAGCTTTCCATTATAATTGTTTTCAGTCCGCTTCTAAGACAATCCTCGGGTAGCTCTCTTTAGAAATCTGGTAGTAACATTCTAGAATAGAATGCATAGAAGATAATCCAATAAGTTCAGATTAAAAATTTTTAAACATTCAGTGGTGCGTGTTTATCTATAGACTGTGTGTTGCCTCCTATAATGATGAATCAAATATTGCCCACAACATGAGGGAGATCCATTTTTCTTCTTTAAAGGTCGGAGCACCATTTTAAATATTTCCAGCACTTCCAAATTTTTGACTCATTCAGCATAAGGTGTTTTTCATACTGGAATGGCTTGCTGGAGTTCCGGTTTAATCTCATTGTCGTTGATATATATAGCTAGGATGGTAGTCTGACCGAGGAAGATCTTAAAAATGGATCAAAAATGTTGATAACAGAAAGTTCACTTATTGGCAAGGCCAATTTAAGGTTTGTGTGTTTATTTAAAATAAAGCTTCGATTTATACATATTGGTAGCACAGAAGTAAAAAACAAATGGCAGCATGTCTTTTGCGGAAGAAATAAAATTGGTTTCAGAGATGATTTTTCGGAAGACGAAATCTCAAAAACAAAATGGAATTTAATAAACGTGTATAGAAGATTTCAAGACTATTTTTCACCCTAGAGTATATCTTTTAAATATCAGCATGGAGTTTCATTACATCACATATAATGTATACTTCCATTTTGACATAACACCATCATTATCTAATTCTAAAATATAATATGACATTAAATTAGAAAAATCATATATTTAAAATTTTAACCATATATAAATAAGGTCAATCAATTCAATTAATTTTAACAAATATAAATAAACTAAGTCAACTGCTGAATTATTCTTAGGATATTCTGATAAGGTGACCTTGTACAGTACAATCTGATTCTAAATTAAGCATGTTTAAAGACAAAGATCAGATCGGGACCCTGATAATTCGACCGATAACATGTCCGTCCAGTTCAGAGTCAATCTTTCCTCTCAATTTTCGATCTATTTAGTAGTATTTATAGTTGTATAAGTTTAGAATGGAGCTGTTCTTTGCTTTTTTCCTGTTACCACCTTTGTAAACTTAAAATTAATATAAATATATACGAGATTAACGATTTAATTAGTAACATACCGAGTTATTAAAATTAACTCAGTAACACGAAACTGTGTTTAGCTCGTAGCAGGTTTCCTTCCTGTAACATGAAAAAGCAGTTATTGACAAAGAATAAGTCAATATCAAATTAAGAGGCAGATTTTAACAATATAATAGACAGTACATTCTTCTACACTTCTTTTTCTAGTTATGCTGATGATCATACAACCTGGCATTCTTTGCTTTCTAGAGTGCTCTACCACTTTAACTAATTGAATATAATAAGAGTAAACAAATGCTAATTATAGTGGCTAGATGGCCAAGAAAGGGCGTGCCTGTTTCTGCAAAAGATCCTGATTTGGGTCCAGTCAGATTATTGAGAATTTTTTGTGATAGTTAGGTGCCCATCATTCTCTACTTGCACTTGCATTCAAACATTTTTGTGAACATCAACAACCTGAACACAGACAAAATTTATGTGAAAGCAAAGGCACAATATTCATGGACTGTGTGCCTAGAATACATGCACGAATTTAATTTTTGGATTTGGAGAATACTTTTGGTACAAGCAAAAGATCCAAATATAAGTCAAATCCCTAGTATTTTTAAGACACGCACACACATATACGATTTTCATAGAAGAAACACAAGTGCTAAGATTATCAAACTTTTTGTCTAGTATAACAAGCTTCGACTATATTTGTCCACTGGCGCAGAATGGATAAAACCACCAAATGCCAGTAGTCAGTAGTTTATGCCCAGCCACGTGGAGTTTTCTGGGTTTTCCTCACGTTGGTAACATCGAACTATGCAGTAGTTTCCCTCAAAAAGCCTTCCTCCCAGGCAAATCGACCACCTTGCATCATTTCAACCGAATAAACCCGTACATTTCTCAACATTTGTGTTTCTCCCGATACTATGCAAAGTCGACCCGTCTTGTTTCCGCAGACCGCATCACGCAGACGCTCCCATCAGAAGCATTACATCCGTTTCTATGCAAGCGTCACAAATAGGATATTTGTACCTGCAAAAGTAATAGGTAGACACAACAAAGATTCGAGTAATTACATTAAAAGCATGTCATTTTATAATTAGACAAAAATCCTTAATCAAATACATGCAAATGATAATACCTCCACTACTTCCCCGACTCCTTCGTTACCTCCGATTGCCGGAAACGTGGGTTTCAGCGCGTAAGTTCCCTGAATCATATTAATATCGGCCGGATTTATAGGCGCAGCCAGCATCTTGATCAGAACCTCGTTACCTTCGAGCTTCTTAAGGCTCTGCTCTTCCTTCTTGACAACCTTCAAAGGCTCGCCGTATTCTCTATAAACTAACGCCGACTTCATCCTCCTACAGAATCGAAGAGGAGAATGCCAACGTAGCGATCTCAACGTTACCTCCAGAAAAGTCACGTTGACCATGTTTACCGAAAGCGACACCTGTCGACGAATTATAGCATCAAAATAAATACTTCAAACTTTTTACTATTTTACGTATTTAAAAAAAAAAACGTTTACTAAAATAAAAATTAATTATAATTATTATAATTAATTATTTAAAACGTTTAAATAAATTAAGCTCGACGTTTCGACGCTTAATTAAAAGGGGGTGAGACGTGACGTAATTATAAAAAATAAAAAAAAACACACGCGATAATCGATCTAGTTAAGAATTTATATTTGAAATCGAATTAAATTTCGTATTATTTACTTAATTAATTTTAAAATAATTACGGCGAATTTTAATGGCGATTGCTTCGTCGAATACGAAACTAAGCGGAGCGGATACTCTCGTCGAATGCGGGTGTTGACGGAGCCAAGAAAATGGAGATAAGTCAGTCCTACTTGTTTTCCGTTAAATGCTGTAGAAAAGGCATCTGAAAGCGGTGAGTCGGGCGCTTTAAACTCTAATAAAGGTCCGTGATTCGATTACGGAACGTTGCACGGGGTCTCACCGACGTACTTTAATGGCCGATTCTTTAACCTTATTTGCCGGGTGTCCGCCTGGTTTACTTTCCTTTTTATTGTTTAAACTACGGAATAACCTTTCGTGTTTCGTTTGTCTTAAAGGTTAATCGATTGGTTTATCGTCGTGTTGCTTGCAGCGCGGGATTTGGCGGGTGCGCGATCCGTTTGTAATTGTTAACGCGTGTGTAATGGATTAATTTAATTACAATACGTCCGGTGACGTCGGCAGTGTGACGTTTCGTGCATAATTAATGAGCTGTAAGTGTGACGGATTGTTATGGGTTTTGATGTATATACGTTATCTAGTGCGTGTTTCTACTTTCGTGCTTAAATATACGAGGGGGAATGCGGTAGAATTTAGGGGAGACGAGTGTCCTTACTGCGCTAATTGTCATGGTTATTTAGTGGGACGACCCGGTTTCGACCGTCCCGCTCGTGGCCGGTCAAAGGGCCAAGTTTTAATCTTATGTATGGCTTTGTATTTGGCGAAGACGCGTATCTGATTCATCTCGTGCCTCTCGGTCGAGACGGGCGACTGAAGAAACCTCGGCCGTCGGTTAGTTACGAAATACCGGGTGTCCGAAAAGTTACCGTGCGGTGAGAAATTTGTATTGCGGACGAGACCCGTAAGTAGTCGGTCTCGCAATTTTCTTTTCGATATAGGGCATTACTGCTCTCTTGTGGACTATGGTTTCTGTAAAACTTCTTTGCTGATGGCAGAATCTGGCCTGTTACGTCTCTGCTGGATTTCGGGGCCTCCGGGAGACCTTTCTGGCATTTGCCGTAGGAGATACTGTAATGTCGTACGTAAAACTTCATTTTTAATGAAACTTAAATCTTTTCAGCCAAACGGTAACTTTCGGACCCCGTATTTTGCATTAATTAACTTGTATATTTCTTTTTTAAATTATAGCCTGCAAATTATGTATTGTATTGTTTATAGAATTACAAAGCTGAATTTTTTATTTAAGAAAATTTCTTTTATTTTAAACTGTTAATAGACCATTACTAATTGCTGTTTTTTTTAACAATTTTTTTCTTTTTTATTGTTGGATTATTTCGAGACGATGTTACGTTGTAGTAATTGAGTATCGCCAGTCAAAATTTCGAGTTTATTAGTTGCAAACGTGTTGAAAATTGTCAATCGATAGTATTGAGATTTGTTATGTAGGCTATTACACACTTACAATATGTTATTATTTTGAATACGTTTCATTGGATGAGTATATTTAGACACTTTTGAGAGAAATAGTTCATGATTTAGAAACTAATTTTATTCATAATATATAAAAGTTTTGTGAAAACACTATGCAGTTTTAACACACGAGTACGGATACAATGTCTATTCCAAAACATGCAGCGAACCTTAAACACTCTTCCCACGGGAAAATGTCTTGTAATTGTCGCAGTAGCAAATGTTTTTGGAGGCCTGTGTCAAGCTTACACGGAAGAAACACAAACATATCGTGATGATTAAGATATTTTCCCGTTGGAAGCATTTGAAATTTGTTGCATGTTATTGAAATATCTCTTGGTGCATGTATTATCATACATACACAGACATATTTATTTGCAAGTGAAATATACGAACAAACACACTTTTTAATGATACAAAATGTTTTATTGAACCTTTTTTGTATCCCAGAATAAAAGCTATCAATTTGGCAGGTTTATCAATTAACGTACAATAAGCGGATTAGTTCAGACTCTTCTTAAAACATTGTGAAATTGTCGTGCCGTACTAATTAGGAATATACTCGTGTATTTTGATTAATTCTTTTTGTTTATTTTGTAAATTGTATTTAATTTGCCATGAATCTTTTTCAGCAAATGATTTTCTAAATAGATACTTTAACTTTTGTAAATTTCTGATTTACATATTGAATATTTTAAAATATTAAGTTATTTTTTGTAATTGGTTATTGATTTTATAAAAGAAACTTCTTTATACTTATTTTAAGATAGCTAAACTGGTATTTTAATTTTCCCATTATTATAAATGTTAAGATTAGAGTTTTAGGTCATAAACTAGGAAATTTAAGATAAAGAAAATATAGAATTATCCTGTAAAACTCGAAATCGTTCGTAAATTGTCGAAACTTGTTTTGAATCTATTAATTCCGAAGTTACATTTTAACTTACAAATTACTTCTTGTAATATTGTAAAATCCATATTTATAGTCTTTAAATTTTGTCCCTGTGTTTTTATAGTTTTTTTTCTCGTCAAAATATAATAAACTTTTAAGAAAAATTGTGCCAAATCATTTTATTTTACTGTAAAATTCAATTTATAATGACTTTAAATATTTTTTTTTTTTGCATCTGTAGAGGAAAATAGTGTTTAATAATATGATTCGTTGCATTTAAAGCCAGAGTTTTTACACTTGATTACTTGCAGCAGTTAACATTTAAAGTTCATTAGGTCAGGACATTCTCTTGTGATACTGTAAGTAAACATATAAAGTAAATAACTGGAATAGATGCCAATTTTTGTTTTAACAACTTTTAAAAACTGATATATATCTTTTTAAATATAAATATAACATTTAAAAGCATTGGCAATTGATAAGATTCTGTCTTAGACTGGTTTTTATGCCTTACAGATAAAAAAAAATTTCTCTTTACAATATGAAAACTCCATTTTTCTTTCCTAGAAATAGTTTTAAAATTATCTAGTAGTACAATCAATCAAACATGGTGTAGAAAATCAACAGAAGCTTTGAAAGTCAATTAATTTGCTGTTTAAATATAACGGAGTAACTTATCTATTCCTGTTTCCTGTTTCGTTTAGTTGACTCAAATGCTCTGTTTTTACTTGCTTATGTAATTATCTTAACGTGATATTTAATTACTAACCGTGTTGATTAAATATTGCCGAATGCAAACTGTATTTTCAACTGTAATGCGACTTTTGCCAAAATAAAAATAATTTTGTCTGAATTTTTAGCATTTTTACAGAATCTGTTTATCGTCTCCTATTTTAAGTCGATTTGGTAAGTTAATTTATATGAATTGTTGGCATCTTATATGTAAATATAACTGTTTTGTAGTTGATTCTTTTATGTAAACTTTCCATTAAAGGAATTTTTATATGCAGTATTCCCTTTTCTATGGAGATATGTTCCAAGACCTATGTGGATGTCCGAGTCAAGTCAATGAATTGATAGTGTACGGAGCTGGTTTTATTTCCTATATGTGCCCGTGATAGAGTTTAATTTATAAATTTTGTGTGGTAAGAAATTAACAACAGGAATCAATAATAAAAATTATGTAAATATAGCCTCAGTAAATGAGTTTTTTTCTCTCTTTATTAAGTCACAACCTAAGCTTTTAAAGGAAGGAGGAGCTTCTCTTTGGCATATCTAAATTGCCATCATCACTACTCTTGCACTTTGGAGACCTTATTAAATGAAATAAGTGTTACTCGAACATCGGCACTATAATAATACCACGAAAGCCGATCTGGTAACGAAGATGGCTACTAAGTGATTAATGGTCATCTATTGTACGGCATGTATATTCCAGACAAATTAGTAATTCAAATTTCAGTAGGATGGCACAAGAATTTGGCATGCTACTCGCAATAGTATAAAATTTAAAATTCGAGCTTGAATTGTTTATTTGTGGAATTTTCTTCTTAATATTTTTAGTTTGTGTTTAGTAAACAGGTTGATCCTGGAAGTGGAGCAATCTAGTAAACACCTCAGTTTACTAATCTTGAAAAGTAAATGCTAATACTACAAAAATTGAAAAATATTGAGATAAATTTCTTCTTCCAAACAATTACTGTAATAATAATATAAATATAAAATATAGTATTAGAGAAAAAAATAATATAACACTGCTTTGGCCATGTATGCAAGCGACGGAGACATCTCTGTCTCTTATGGCTCTACCAGATTGCTTCGTCACATATTTTATTAATCACATAGAGTTCGTTCAATTATTTTTCTGCATGCATACATTAGTTTCAATGGACGCAAGCCTAAACTTTAGCTGTTTTAAAGTACGATTTGAATTCTGTATTTACTTTGTTTTTCTGTTCTTTCATATCACGTGATCTGAGAATGTCTGATTGATAAGGACAAAAACGTTTGTTATATTAAATATTTTTGTGTTTATATAACTGGTTTTGTATGTAACTGTTTTTTATGTTTATACAGTTTAGTGTACAGGTGTGCTTTTAGATAATATATACCACTTCTTAGGATGTTTACTTAATTTTTATATTCATAAATTAAATATATAAAGTACTGAAGTTATAACATATTTTTAGCTATATCTTTCGGATAAATGTTGTGTGTTCTACTGGTATTTTAATTTTCCCATTATTATAAATGTTAAGATTAGAGTTTTAGGTCATAAACTAGGAAATTTAAGATAAAGAAAATATAGAATTATC